TTTTTATTTTTTAGCTTTTCACTATTTTTTGGCTAGCAAAAAACTATTTATTTGTTGATGAAACCATTTAAGATCAAGCAGGATTAATCAAACCAAAATAGCTGCTGCCACTGATAGCATCATTACTTTAAGATGAAAATCGTGCCGGAACAAGATGCTATTCCAAAAGTAACCTTGAATAATCTCATAATCCACTGTTATGTATACTAAGTTACTAATCAAAGAAATATAGAATTATACGCCTCTTTGTTTCCTATTGCTACTCGGCTGTATGTTGATTTTACATGTATTTCCTATGGTTAACATATGTCCATTTCAGAGTTTGAAGCCTACTGATTTGATGCAAGACCTTGAACCTAAATGAATGGAACTCCGAGGGATATTTTGGCCGCCCGCCTGTTGGTGTTACCGAATTAACTTCAAAACAAAAGCATCGTCATGCAAGGAGAATGGTGTACTGCCAAGAAGAAGATGATGAAATAAGTCATTTCTCAGTAAGAATAACATTCAAAGCTACTGAATTGATCAAATCCAGGTCTACTTTCAGCCTTATAATGTAATTACACATTTATGCACAAGTTCACCAAGCCATGGACTAAGGATTATATGGAAACTGAATCCAAAGCATAAATGTATATAGTCCATGAACTTCTCCCACATTTTAAGGCGTTTATCCTAGGCTCCTTGCTATTAGTCCCGAATTAATTTCATGTGCATTTTCGCTGCCATTTCCCACCCAATATTAGTCGCTAGGAAATAAGAAAAGTCACAATCACATTTTAAGTACAAAAGCAATATGTCTAAAACAATAAAGACAATGACCAATGGAAGCTACTTAATAGCTTGGAAAAAAAAAAAAAAAAAAAAAAAAAAACAAAAAAATTATATAAAAATCATTTCTCAAAAAGTATAAGAAATAATCTTTCCCTTTTTTTAAATTTCTCTTTATATGACTTAAAATTTAAACATGAGATCTCCACTCAGAATCTTAAATTTTTTATTATTATTATTATTTTAAACAAATTCACAAAGAGTCAGATTCAAATCGTTTTCTTGGAAATAGAGAAAATACACTTATACTTGATCTGACGTCATTAGTCCGAGGACCCAAGTGCAAACTCTTCATTAATTTAGTCAACCCGCAAAATGTACTTTACATTTACACCATTGTAGAGTTTGGGGCAATTGTATTTAGGTAAAATTGTGCAAATTCAGCTCCTCTACCTCATTTCAGGTTAATGATCACTCCACAAACTTTTTTTCACTTACAGATTACCCCCTTTAGTTGTCCATTTGGACAAATTGACCCTTATAGTTTTTTTTTTTCATAAAGAGCCCAATATATACTTAATTAAAATTTTAAGTACAAAGGGTACTTCAACCTGTGATATACAATCCTTGATATCAATCGACACATTTAGCATCTCAAGCATTGCATCCGGGTGTTCACCTATCATCTTTTCACAATGCCCAGAAGACAACTAAACCTGTTTCATATATTCTATGGGCCGGATTGAGACGCCAGTCCAAAATGCTTACCACCCACTCCACTTTCGTTGCTTTCAACCAATCCAATGATGGAAATTGTATACATTCAAATGCCCTTTCCACATCTGGTTATTCCATTCAATAAAACATTATTCTTGGTTAGCTAGATAGACCAAGTGAATGCAAACCATATTGCCTTCCAATCATTCCAACTAAATGCTTCTGCTGTTTGAATTCTCTCCAGCACGATTGGAAAATGTCCCCTGTTATTTTAACTCATTGTTAGAGGACCATATGAAATGGATAATAATTGATATACTTTTTGATTCAATATATTATACAACACAATCATTAATAAATTATTATTTTAAATTTAAATTAAATGCATAAAAACTTAAGTTATTAAAAAAATGTAATTTTCAATTTTCTCACCTTTAATTTAAATTTAAAAAATAATTATCTAAAATGAGATGACTAAATAAAAACATAATAGAGTAAATAATAATTAAAGAAGTTGTGACATAATTGGTAAGAAAATGTACTTTTCACTTTATTAGTTAAGAATTGATTTTTCAGGAGAATAATGAAAAAGAAATTTCTTATGAATTTTCTAATTCTAATATAGATGGTTTGCTTTAATTGAGTCAGAGAGAGATTAATTTTAAGGTAGGTACAAATTAGTATAGAGACAACTGCTAAAAAAATGAAACCAGAGTAATCAGAACATATATCCCAGCATTTCACAGAGCCTAGCATATTAATAACATCTATGCATCATTAATATATACTTGGTTTTATAAATTAAAAAAAAAAAAAATCTGGGAGTCAACAAAACGTGAAAACAACAACAAAGATATTCAACTCATTTTGAGAACAAATTTCTGGTTCCCTAGGGCAATCACCAAATGAGAGCTCTATTTCTTCTCCTTGGAACTTCACCAGTAGCAGCATCTGCATCATATTGCTCTACCAACTCTACACCTCTACTGCCTCTTTACATGCCAAAACAGATACTCCAAATCTGGAAGCTTTACTGTAGCAAGACCTTAGGCACTCCTTTGGACGAGAACACCATTCATTTAAAGAGAAGACTGGGCCCTTTGGCTTTTATCCACAACAAAGGTCTAAAACTAAAATTTCCATCTAGACAATCACATTTTTCTGAAAAATTCTTTTGGTTAACCCATAACCAAATTGACCAAAAATAACAGAAAAGCAAATAAACATTCACACGTCTTCCCATCTCTTATTTGAAACTAGCCCTTCATTTTGCAAGAAATTAAGAAGATAACTTATTGAGTAAATCATGAATCGGACCAAAAATTTCCCACCAATTACAGCATACCGTCTCCACAGTTCTTGAGAAATTAAATCTGCAAAAATACATGAGAAGATAATTACCTCTATCATGTAGAAATTACAGACATGGTTAAGCTCAGAGACTGTCATCATTAAGCAGTAGGTACAGTTGCTGGTTCAACTTGAGGTGTAAAGTTAGAAATATACATACGCATGTCTTCAAGAATTTGCTTCAGCCCCAATAACATTTCAGATTTCATCCGCTCGTTCATTTGATTATCGGTCCCAAGGTCTTTGTAAGTAACATAGACAGCCATTTTTATCTTGTCTCCATTTTCAAAGCCATTAGCACGTACATTGATGTCTTTTATCCATTCATTTGTCTTCATGTCACTGAGATGAATACAATTCTATGATTTAAATATATAGAGGTGGGTTTTGTATACAAAGCAATTTAAATTCATTTCATTTTCAAATAAATTTATTTGCAAAGCCAATTCTACATGATTTTAGATGTTTTCGAAAGTTTTGAGTTTCTTTCATTTAAATTAAATTAGATTATTATTTAGAATTCATATTATGAAATTAAAAAAAGAACTTTTTGATTAAACCAAACACCAAAATATGTATTTGCAAATGAGTTCCATGCTTCTGATGTACCAAAAGAAAAAAAAAAAGTTCCATGCACATTTGTTTTTACGGAATTTATTTATACCAACACCACCTGAAAGTGACGAGATCAAAGGGAAAACTAATTGTTGACTCACCTTTCTATTCTGCCCTTGAGATCTTGAATCTACTGTATGGATGTAGAAGCATCAACAACAAATTCTACAGACTCAGTCAAATCAAGGTTTTTTTTTTTGGGGGAGATGGAATCTTGCAAAAATGAGGGATGTTTTGCCTATTTAGGGGTAAACTTACTTTTTAATCATTTGGAAGAAAATACAATTGAGCTTAATATTAAAATTTTGTTGTAAAATGCTCTTAATAGAAAGGCACCCGTTTTAGAACTTTGTTAACAAAAAAACCAATTGGACAAGAATACTTTTCAACACCAAGCATTAGAAAATAATCTAAACCAATTGGACAAGAGTATTTTTTAACATTCAATATTAAAAAATAACCTAAACTAATTAACATGAGCATTTCCCAGTACCAAACTCTAGAAAATAATTCGTATAACTTGGGTAAGATTATTTTCTAGTATTTAACACTAAAAAATAATCTACACTCATTTTTATTGTTTAACTTTTACGGTTCTAACTTGAGTCTCACTTGAAAATTACTTGTAAATTTTAGATATTTTATACCAAACTTTAATTTTCCGTACTTAGCATTGAAAAATGATATATTATCTTCCAACGCAAATTTTGTTGGAAAATAATTAGTTGAAAAAATTCGAGTTTCTAGTGATCTCACGTAATGCACGAAGATGGTAAAGCAGCTTTTGTACAGCATGGTGGTATAACAAATGCAAGGACGGGGTGGCTCGTGATTTGGTTTGCAGTGACATGGACTATATGGTAGCGAGAAATCATGCCGTTTTCAATGACAAGGAAGCTAACAGAGAGGATGGATTGGAATTATAAAACTTAATATATTGATTTTATAAATTGTATTTTAACACGTAACAAAAAAATGTATTTTAATGCATATTGGGCTCATTTCACTAAATTTTAATTAGTGATAGACTTGATTTTATACTTAATTGTAAAGCATTTAAAGTTTATTGGTTGAACAGTAATTCTCTTGGATCATGTGGAGTCTACATAGTGCCACGCCGAAATAAAAAACCCAACGGAATAAAGAAGTTAATGGTTAATGACCAACTGTTTTACTTTAAAACTAAGTTTAGTAACTAAATTTACAAATTTGAAAGATAAGTGATTAAAATGAAGGGTATGTTTTAGCGATTATAGGAGTAAATTACTCAAAAAAGTTAGGATGTATATACACCGATTTAACACATTGTATAATATATTTATTAAAAAATCATTAATATTTTATCTAAAATTAAAGGTAGGTAAACTTAAAATATAACCATATTTGCAAGATGTAAAAATCGATCGAATCGATTATATTTAATTGTAAATTCTTCTAGGAGTTGCATTTTTGTATTATTGTTTTTTTAAAAAATAAAAATTTTATTAAAATAATAAAATTAATTACATATAATTCTCTATGTTGCAACTTATAACCAAAGCAAAAGCATACTAAAAGAAAAAAGTTTATCATCTGCGGTTGTTAAGGGATTTACTTGGTAAAAAGTTACCAGCATTTGCATAAATGCCACACAAATGCTGGCATATGTGGAGCCGGTAAAACCACACCTGCATTTTATACAAATGTTAGTGTAAACTACTTTTCCCTTGCATTTACTAAAAATGCAAGGAAATCACATTGAGAACCGCAAGTGATGCCCATGGAGAAGTCCCAAATATCTGCTGTTTTTACTTGC